CCGTCCCTCCGCCGCCCCGCTGACGCCCCTCTCCCGGCCCCCAGCGGCATGCGGCGCTCCCCCGATGTCAGCCCCCGGCGGCTGTCCGACATCAGCCCGCAGCTGCGGCAGCTGAAGTACCTGGTGGTGGACGAGGCCATCAAAGAGGACTTGAAGTGGTCCCGCTCCGTGGAGGACCTCACCAGCGCTTCCGTGGGGCTCACCTCCATCGAGGAGCGGATCCTCCGCATCACCGGCTACTACGGCTACCAGCCCTGGGCCGCCAGCTACAAACGTGAGTCCCCAGCACGGCTGGGCGCGGGGGGGGGGGACGGGACACGGACACGGACACGCCGGGGGCTTTGCGTGGGGGCCACCGCGGCCCGGAGCCGGCCGATGAGTGTGGGCGCGGGGGGTCCGATCGCTTCGCTTGCCCCGTGGAAGCGGTCCCGCTCTCTGCAAAGAATTCCGTGCCCCTGCTGCGCTAGTCCTTAGGCAGTCGCAGGCTCACGGGAGCGGGGTGCTAAGAATCACGACAGCTAAATTCCGCTAAGAAAATAGGTCAAATATTTGTCTTAATGTTGCAGACGCACTTAGTGATGCTGGTTACCGTGTTTGTGGCGGCTCTGTAGAAGCCCAAGTGCATTCATGCACATACTGTTTTCACAAGGAATACGTTATCAGTGCATCTTTCCGTTGTTTTGGGGGTCTGTCAGATTTTCACAGCACTTGACCTGAATCTTGTGCCTTTTACTGTGTCAAATGGAATTGCTTCTTCCATATGCCTGCACTTGAGTAAGAAACTTCGCATGATATCAGCATGAAGAGAGACTTAGCTGTGTTCTTCCACGTACGTGATTTTCAAAGGAAGTGACACCCTATTTCTTGGCCATCTTTCATCACCATGATGGCAATTGCATGAATTAACAAGTTCTAAGAATAATTTACCAATTAACTGAAGTCATAAAAATATTTTGGTTGTCTTAACGTCCTTCATAAGATCACAGGGTTTTTGTTGTAAGAAGGATTCTGCTGTAACAGAAATCATTGCTTTGCTGGGAAGACTGGCTCTGACAAAGTGATTGTTTTCATGTTGCACTTTTCTAAGTATGAAGTGTAAATGTTCTGAAATGTTTACTCATGGATTATCTGTTTGGCAGTGTGCTTAACGATGGAAGAGAATGATACAAGAAAGTGTGGTACACAGTACTTGTTCAGTTTTTCTGTGAGGAAGAGCCACTCCTGATTGCCTGATTATAGGATTTATAAATATTCTAAGACTTCTTCTGCAAGAGCCTTATATTTTTCTTGATTGTGATTATGACAGAAATATGTGACATTTCCTACTTCACTGACAGGGAGTATGGGATTTCTCTAAGAGCAATTCCCTTGCCTGGATTGGGACCATTCTTGAGAGTAAAGCTTATTCAGGTCAGTTTTCAGGATCAGATCATATGCTGATGCCAGACTGAGTTGGATGTTAGTGCTTCAGTCTGACAGAGTGACTAATAGTCCAGTTGAAGTCGCACTGAGCTGCTATGGCTGAACCTTCTGAAATAATAAAGGTCATGCTGGCTCCTCAATTATAACCTATTTGTTGAAATTTATAACTGTGTCTGAAAAAGTTAATTGCAAGCCTAAGCCTGCTATTCTAGTTATATTTTCTCTCATAACTCGTTCTGAATAACAAAATTACATACTTGAGTTATAATGGTGGGGGATAAATATACAAAGTGTGTGAGTTTCATAAATGTATGTCTAAAAATAATAGGTTATGTGAAGTCGTTGCCAATTTAAAATCTGAGTTGCTAGGAATGTAGAAGAACAAGCAGAAGACAAGACCCATCTCTCTGGCTGGTATAATATGGCATAGCTGAAACAGAGCAGGGTTGATCTGCATCAGCTGAATACCTGACTGAATGCATGTAAGTGGGGTAGATCATTGAAAGTGGGAAGTCAACTTTGTCACAGCTACTTTGAAACCTCTTTGAATAGTCCTTCAAGCTGGGCTGATGCCCAGTTTGGGGATATGAACTTTCCTTGTCACCTTCCAGTTAGAAGGTTTAGTTGGCCCAAGAACTGCGAACAAGCACTTTTTATTAAATTCAGATTGTACCCTGGGCACCTTTTGTCATCTTATTGCGCATGCTTGTAGACATTTAGGTGCTGTTGGCACTATAATTATGGAGTGCATTAATAATGGACCTGCTTTCTGGAAAATAAGTCTATAATCTGGTCTGATCTAGATTTGGTATCTCTCTCTCAGTGACATTCTTTCTATTGTAACTAAATCACCTGTAGGGCCAGATCTGTTTTTTTCACACTGGAGTGTATTCCTCTCATACTTTATTTAGACTGTTTATATAAATATTTGTTTGTGTGTATAAAATTGTTTGAGACATTCAGAAAGCTTTTGCTAGTTTTTTTAACAAAACTCTGTGAGGGGAAACTACCAGAGATCATCAGAGAGAGCGTTGCCATGACCCCAAAACTAGCTTGGAGACTAGCTTTGTTGCGGTAAAAACCTGACCATTTAAAACATACTGGGATACCTCAGTGTTGTGTGCCAACTGCAGTATTTAATATATGTATAAATTAGATGGAAAGAAGGGAGGAAGAAGTGAAAATCTGCTGAAGACACAAACTGATATGGATTGGACAGACGAGAAAGGACTTGTCATTACTCAGGGAGACCTGACCCAGCCGGGTGAATAGCCCAAACGTCAACAAATGACATTCAGTTATCCCAAACAGAAGCCTCTTGTTTCCTGAAAATGCCAAAATTACTTGCAAAATTTCACATCATTACATCAGCTGGTGAGAGGGAATAGTTTGGGACTGTACACAGCTCAGGGAAGACCTCTGCTGTTTGACTACACTTGCAAACCAGATTTTAGAAACTGAATGATGTACTTCTGTGTTATGATGCCTTCAGAGAATTTAGTGGTACGGCCTAGTGAAATACTGTGTAATATTGGTTATCTCCTCTCCAAAAAGATTACAAAAGGCTCTGAGATGAGTAAGGAGCAAGAGTACAGACAATCTATAAAGACTCTCAAGAGTTTTGGCTGTTTACCTTACAGAGGTTGAAACAAAAGTATGGGAAGTACTGCCGCATATTGCTCAGGCAGATACAGAGTTTTTCTTCTTACTGTGTCATAAGAGCAAAATGGGTGGACAGTCAATGCAGCTGGAAAACCATCAATTAAAAACTGATAGAAAAAGAAATAATTTTTAAGAAAACACATAGTTTGTTCTTGAAATGAAGAATTCAAGGGCTTGTAATTGATAGTAGTGACAAGATCTAGAATTGTAATTAAGTTCAAAAAAATATTGGAGAGAATATTAAGCTTCATTATTCAGAATTCAAATTAGCCCCTCTTAGGCTGATATGGGCCACCTTCTTGAGGGTTTCTTGTGCTTTCCTCCATAGCATCTGCCCACCTTCAGAAAGAGGATAGGAGTGTGTCCTGATCCAATCTGGCAGTTCTTATTTTTCTGAAATTCTCACTATTGATTTTCAGGGTAACTAATTATGTGAATAACTGCTCTCCAGTCTAAATCAAATATTCATATTTGTCCCATGGGGACTCTTTGGCAGCATGTGATTTGATTTCTCAAATGCCAAGGCAGAGGGAAAGAAACACATGTAAGATGTAGTCAGATTGTAGAATCATACTCTGATGCAGCTACATCAATAACAGAGCTCAATATTTGTGAAATCCTAGTTATCAACAAGAGGTATGTTAATTGACTTTTAAATTTTTTTAAGTTACACATAGGGATCAAAGAATTTAATTTAAAAAAAAACCCAAAAACAAAACACCACAAAAATCTGTAGAACCCAGTGGCAGCCTTTTTGTTGTATGGAGAGCAAACCATTGTTAGGGCTGTATTAGCAGTGCTGTTCTCTTCCATGAAGGTTAAGTAAATTACCATGATTTCTGCCTCTAAAAGCCTGTGACTTCAGCTTAAAAGCAGAGACAAGTTTGGAGGTGAACAGCCATATTTTAACTTTCCATTTTGTGCCATTATCAGTAGGAATTAGGTTCCTAAATATTTTTAGAAGTATAGTCCCTAGGAGCTTTTCTGGGCTTGAGAAATACAGTGTCACTAAACTCTTGAACTGTCTTACTGATCTGTATGGAAGACTTGTCTGTTTTAATTATTGTAGCAATTGGCAGGGTGCTTGTTTCCACCCGAAATGTGCGCAGCTAGCACCTTTGCCAAACATTCATTTTTCTCTACATTAACTAGGTCTATTTTGTGGTGATTCAATATCACAGTCTGTCATTATGTGATTAGTATTTTAAATACATTCATGTGGGCTTGAGCCAGCTATCTCTATTTTGCAATCTTTGCCTCTTCCTACAGATCACCTGCTTCTACTCCTTGTTTAAGATTAGGGTCTTTCTTCTAAAGCAGTGACTTTCAAACATCCTTAGCATGTGTTCCTAAATACAGACTTGTTATGGGCAAATCAGGATTATATGGGTCCCTCCCTCCTTTTAGATGCCCAAGAGACCACCTGACCTCTTACTTTTATTCACTTACCTTCTTTGTGTGCTTACAGATGTTACTCTACCTGCAGAAAGAATATTAAGAGAGTAGTATATACTTTTAACTCCTTGCAGTTCTATTTAGTAGGAATTGACCGCAGTCTGTGGTTTATGGCTTGTGAACATACATTTCTATGACACTTTGACCTTGTGAATAATTCCAGGTTGTTCTAGTGACGACTTTTAAGTGTCAGTCCAGTAACTGTTCTCTGGCTCTGCTCCTCCCTGCTATTTTAAATATTAGTTTCTTATTTTTAATGTTTCTTCATAGTTATTTCAACAATACCAAAATAAACCATACAGTTTTAATGCCCATTAAAATAAAACCATACAGAATTTCAATGTAGTACTCATCCAGCATGTAGCACAGTAAGTCTTGACCTGGATTTTGGAATTTAAGTGCTGTCACCAATATAAGTAACATATTGGAACGTATTGGCTTACAAATATCCCAAACATTGCTCAGAAAGCATAATTGTTTGCGTATGAAAATGCCCTGGTTGCTGAACTTCAATGGCCTTTGAAGGTAGTAGTTTAGTGTTGGTTTTAGCTAATGAAAAGTATGGCCATTGTACCCTTATAAATATTGGAGTATCAGTTATACAGCTAAAGATTAGTGGTTCCAGCTGATCCCCAGTGTTCCTCCTTGTGATCTGCTTTTCATGTGCCATTGAATGCTGTAACTTTCACACTCACTAAAAGCAAATCCAGTGGGGATATGAATAAGGATAAAAAT